AGAAACGTTACTTCAACTAATCGTCAACCTTCGCACAAGCAACTGCAATTAATGCTATGACTTAGTTATGTTATTTGTGATAACATATACATGGTTGCGTATAAATTATACAGAGGAGAACTTAAAATTATGTTGAAGACTTGAAGCGAAAACTATACTTCTAGAAACAGTTCACATTTTAGTGTTATTATCTAATTTTCTCAGTTGAAAATATTTATGAAGCTAACAGGGCCGACACTAGAGGGATTCTAGGGTAAGCCGTGCATCCCAAATTACACTCTGGCTTACTCAAGTTCATTCTCCCTATCAGTTTAAAAATCATATTATCAATTTTTAACAATTTTATATATTTTTTTTAAATCGCTAAGAAAACCTAACAAAAGCTCTATTTCCTCCTCCTCCCCCAAGAAAGAGAGAGAGAGAAGCTGGAACCAGACTTGGAAGCTAGAGAGAATGGGAGTAAAACAATTTCGATTAATAATTGTGTTATGATTTTTTTCATAGTTTACTTTAAACCGATTTTAAGGACAGTTCCAAGCGCTTAAACTTGGGAATGTTCAAGCAGGCAGACATTTGTTCTCACATCGTCCATGTTAACCCCAAATAATGAAAACAAATACGTAAAATATATGTATGTATCTGTATGAACCAACTAAAACGTAGTAGGTAAATATAGAATATCATATAACATAATTTAAAATGAAGTTAAGATCCTCTGTTACGAAAAAATATCAAAAAAACAACAACAAAGATATATGGAAACCAGTTTTGACACGACACTTTCACGTGTCCTCTTCAATCCAACTTTTGTTTGAGAAAGAAACACACACTGGGTTGTTTTATAGCGGAAGTTCCAAAATTCTCCAGAGCCACAAGACGTCAGAAATGGGTTCAGCTTAAAGTGACCATCAGAGATGTTAAAGTTTGTCAATCTATGATCCAGAAAACTTTCAACTATTCTTCTTTTGACATAATGTGTAGTTTTATGTATTATTTTGGCTGATATCCAGTTTATTTGGTGACAAATATTCCTTATGTGTAGAAAAATAGCATTATTTGTTTTACACCCTGCTCTTTATTTCGATGTGACATTTCTCTAAAGTCATAACACTAGAACTTGGTTGATTCTAAGTATTTTATTTTTATTTCACATGTAGATGTTTCTGGTTACTACTAGCTAGTTTTTATTCTTTTAAAAAAAATTTTTTCCTTGCCTTTTGATGGCAATTTTTGACAAAACCTGTAGGATACTGTAACCGTTCGAAAGTTGCAAATATATGAATGATTTCTTCTATAAACTTGTAAAAAAGATTGAAATTTTAACTGTTGTTTTGACCGTTTTGTGTTGGCACGAGAAAAGTAGAAGAACGTAGCTTAAAGGGTTAATTGGTTTTCTATAGATAGAAAAAACAGGTTCTGTTTCTATTTTTTGTTACGAAAATGTCCAAAAATGGAACAAATTATTTAATTCCCATTCCATTTTAAATTTAATAGTAGTATGAAGCTTGTTAATCTTCTAGAAAATGCTTTAAAATGATTTCAATTGTTTGGCCAAACAGAAAATATGGCATCTACATATCGGAACTAGATGATTCCCTTTATATTCAGATCCGCTAAAAAAAAAAGACAAACTCACTTTCAAAATACTCCATAGAACTGTTACAAAGATTTAGGGTGCCCGGCATGGCCAGGTGGTTAGGGCGCTCGACTCGCAATCTGAGGGTCGCAGGTTCGAATCCCCGTCACACCAAACATGCTCGCCCTTTGTGGGGGCGTTATAATGTGACGGTCAATCCCACTATTCGTTGGTAAAAGAGTAGCCCAAAAGTTGGCGGTGGGTGGTGATGACTAGCTGCCTTCCCTCTAGTCTTACACTGCTAAATTAGGGACGGCTAGCGCAGTTAGCCTTCGTGTAGCTTTGCGCGAAATTCAAAAAACAAACAAACAAAGAGTTAGGGATAAAGGATTACATGTAGTCATTGCAGGGAGATAAAAGTATGAAGGGCACAGAAAGTAAAATGTAAGTTTAGGTGAGTTTCGTGCTAGAATGTTTGCTATTTCGTCGATTAGTGCATTTACAATTTTTGAAAAACATTAAAATTAATCAACTTTTCTTCATTTACGTTCCTCTTTTTTTTTTTTCTTTTATTGGCGAAATCTATATTATTCAGAATATGTGAAGATGGTGAGAACTTTCCTAAGGTAGGGGATAGGTGTTGGGTTAGCCATTTGGATAACGCATCCATAACTGATTCTACTTTAAAAATTATAGATGTAAGATAGCCATGTTTATGCGTTTTGGGTAACCCGTGCACATACGACAGATAAGAATTCGTCAAGTTTAAGATTTTTAAGAGATCGGGATAATCAGCTAGAATTTTTCGAAAAGATTTGTTAAAATCCGATATTTTATTGGAATGTGAGATACACCCGAGTTTTTCATCAGTATTTTCATCTTTCAATAAATATTTCAGTTTCGCTTTGTTGGCAAATTTATTTAGGATAACCCTTTTGTTTGTTTTATCAGATCTATTTACTACATTATCCTTGTTTTAATATTATTAAGACTTCTAAGAAGTAATGACAAACACTGTCTTCATTTCCTTTGTAAAAGAGTGCGATAATTAAACCTTCAGTTAAAAAGTTTGAATCATCATTATATCTATAACCTAAAATCTGAAGTCAATCTGCATTTAACAACTCAGTAACCAGAAATAACTAGAGATAGATGTAATAATATTAGCTGTAGGTATAGTATACCTTACAATTAAACTAAAATCCACAGCTTTTTTTTAACTTTTACACAAAAACTCCGAGTTTCGACACACTCACATGTCTTCCTCCGTCGGACGGTGTCTCACACAAAAAGAGAGAAGAGCGTATGAATATGATGAAACTACTACTGGAGTCTTTATCCGGATTAAAATGTGGATTTTAGTTTAATTTTAATTAATATACACGTTATTATGTACTCATCTCTAGAGTGTAACTTAGTTATTGATTCCAGTTTTATTTTTCAAAATATTTGGAGCTATTGGGCTTGTATTGTTTGTTTGTTTTTGAATTTCGCGCAAAGCTACATGAGGGCTATCTGCGTTAGCCGTCCCTAATTTAGAAGTGTAAGACTAGAGCCAACTCTTTGGATATTCTTTCACCAACGAATAGTGAGATTGACCGTCACATTATAACGCCCCCATGGCGAGCACGTTTGGTGGGGGACGGGGATTCGAACCCGCAACCCTCAAATTGCGAGTCGAGCGCCTTAGCCATCTGGCCATGCCGACCCTGTTGGGTTTGAAATCAAACGTTAAAACATATACATCAACATTATAACTATCCTATATATTTTTATGCGTTGCTTCTTTCAAAGAAAACGTATTCTGCTATTCATTTGTCCGTACCTTCTAGTAATATTTCTAAACGCATGAAAAAATATAAAGTTTGCCCAATAACTTATGGCATAGTACTAAAAAAAATCTTATAAAATGTAAATTAATTATAAAAAATGTTTTTATTTTTAAGTTATATTAACGTTAATATACGTAATTAACACATACAGTTATTTTTTAAAGGATCTGTAGAAATAAATATACCACAGAGGGTGCTGTGGGTGGTGTAGCATTCCCACCTTTGCATACTTGACTTATATAGCAACTGTAAATTATAATATTATATTAATTTTTAGGAGCCATGCCCCCAGACCCCCCCTAGATTGAGCTGCCTTTGTAAAACCTGCATGTCTAGCCAAGTACACCCACTTTGCAACTGATTCCTATACCACTGTACTAGCTAGATGAAATTATCAGCCTTCCTTTTTCACAGTCTTTGTGTTTAGAGATAAATATCTTCTGAAAATTATTATCCACAAACTAATATGACTTAAATGACTAACACAGACACCAGTTAAAGAAAAGTATTCTGGGATATTGCACGCGTGTTCAATAGCTTTTTAACTAAATCTGTTTCTAACTAAGTTACTTTTTAGGATATGACCTTTTTGGAGTCATTGTAATAAAAACTAACCATTTTTTACACTAAAAAAATCAAGGGGCTCTTATAGACCTACATTATTGTTTTTACATTTGAATGAAGATGAAATGCGATGACGATAATTTCCGTTAAGCAATCAAGATGGTGGCGTCCGTTGGGGAAGCCCTATTTTTCTGATGGATTGAATATGAAGAAAAAAATTGACCATACTTGTTTTATCTATAAAACCCTCTTCGTTCATTATAAATATATACTCAGTATTATACGATTTAGCAGCTTATTGCTATGAGGTAGGCTAAGCTTCTCTTTGTTTTGCTTTCTTAAGCTTTGAATACTTTTGTTTTAGACGTTTCATTTACTAAGATAAATCACTTAAATTTTTGGGTAAAAGAAAATTAAAAATCAAAATACTTTCATTTATAAAGTTACTTAAGATTGTTATAAAATATATTTGATCTTCGATTTAAGAAAAAAAATGATTTTTTTCAAGGTAATTTACTTACAGGAAAAATCAATCTCGATCAAACAAAGTGTACCTCCACGAAACTAAAATGAAAATACTTTCACTTCTGAAGTTACTTAAGATTGTTATGAAATATATTTGATCTTTGTTTTAAGAACAAACAATTGGGGTTTCTTAATAGCCTTGTACCAGACCGGGACGTTAACTTGAACACGACTTCATAAATAAATAAAAGTGATGGGGGGAGAAGAACAACAAGAAAAAAGAAAAAATGGACTCTGGAGGCTCCTCTTCCCCCCAGAAAAGTTTTATTGTATTTATCAAACATGTTAATATTAGGGTGGCGCGAAAAGCGACGCATTTGTTTTTTATTAGTATTTATGTATTTAAATAATACTTTTTGGACTTAGATTTGTTATATTTTCATTATTAGTTAAGCGAACGTGAAGACGGCCAGACACAATTTGTTTATTAATTTAGAAAAAGACTCCCTCTTGTGGGATTATCATTTACGGTAAACATCGTGGGGTATCGGTAGATCATTTAGCACTCTCTTACTATTTCATATTTTTACTGCCAAAATATCTATCTCCCTATTGTCACTTTATCTCATATGATAATTCAAGATACTCCTTGATGGGAATTTTTTTACATTCACTGAAGCCACTGAAATTAACAATTGAAACAAACATGAAACGCCCTTTTATCTAGCATCAGGCTGCATGCATTTTGGTGTATTTAAAATACCGAAAGCAAGATGAAACAGACAGTTGATTAAATTTATTTTGAAATAGGCATATGTTGTATTTATTGATTTTGAATTTCATAACTCGGAATATTTCAATTAAGGAAAATTGTACAAATAGCAAAGTTGACGTCTCTAAGTTATGCTGTAAAACGTAGGGTAATGTTAATAATTGAATGAACGTTATATTAACCATGGTAAGAAAAACAGCAAGTATGTGGTAAGTTAATGAGTTTTGAAATTATAAAAAGACTAAAAATCATATTACTCCAATTAACATGCCCAAAAATATGCTTTTGACTCGCTCATTAGTTTAATTTGTATTTTGTACAATTTGTACTTTTACTTTTTATTAATATTGCGATTAGTAATAGTATATTAGTAGTTTTTCTTGTAGTTGTACTGTTGTAGCACGTATTCTCTCTACTAAATTCTAGTCTTAGGGCCAAGTAATACTAATAGTAATAGGCCTAACATTTGTGTGATGCATGGAACATTTCCCCTACGATGAGTCAGCGTGCAGGACTGTGACACACCGGTCTTAGCATGGAAGAAGGAAAAAAAAGCTGAACGTGCTGTGCTCCCAAGTAATAGTGATAATGTATACTGTTACAGTCGGCTACCTCCAGTTTCACCAAGTTTTATACAGACAAAGAACGTGTTTCCTGTATTATTACTGACGTAAGTTTGGCCTGCATGCCAACTAAACTTAGTTTAGTCTAACTTGACTTAAGTTTTAATTTCAATGAAGATGTAATGCGTAACTTAAGCACTTTAGTTTAGAATGATGTCTTTTATAAGTTCTAGTAGCACTAGTAGTAGTACTATGCTGTAGTACTTAGTATCATTCAGTACTTATGTAAAACTGTAATTATAAATACAATGATAATTGAGTAATACTACTACTACTAGTAATAGTACAAGAGACCCATAAGGTACACAGCTGATGCAAAGTCTTTTTCAGAGTGAGATAGTTTAGAAGGTTTTTTGTAGTTCATTTTTGCTCTTAAACTTTGGTACTTTATCTATTTTGTAGTTGTTCAAGTGTGTTCAGAATTTAGTTTTTTATAGGTACAAACTTAAGTATTAGTATTACTAGCTTGTTTGTGTTGAGTACTATTTTCTGAAAAAGAAAAATAGTTATATCAGGAAAAATTAATAATTTAGAATAAGCAAATTTCAGACTCACTTAATAGGTTTTCTTAAGAGATTTGAAATATATATATATATATGTAAATGAAATCATAGCCAAAATTTGCTATAAGCAGTATCTATATTCTGTTCATTTGCTATATTCATAGTTCTGATGCTGAAACATTAATCTATTTCTTAAAATAATTAACCAGGTTTTGCTAATATTAATAAAATTAAAATCGTCCCTCTTATTTTGTAACTGTTTCATACATCCTTCAGGATTTTTAGAATTGTAAACCATTTTTTTAAGCTAGGTTTTTAAATTCAGTAATTTATGCTTTATTCTGTTTTGACTGAAAAAGCAAAAAAGATCTGACTGACAATAGATATGGCTCAAAATTGTCTACAAATTAATTTTGTTTCTCATGGATAATTACTTTTAATAAACCTTTGAGGTTAGTGAACGATTTTGGTTACCTTAGTTAATGTCTTGGTGTAAATAGGATATTTTAGCATAATTGTCATTCTGTAGTCACATTAAATTTTTTATCTTTCAGTGTTCCTGAGTGTGTATACAGACTTCTTATGAATGCAGTTTTGGTGGCAGTATAATAGAAATGCCTAATGAAGGATATGGAAAAGCAAAAAGTTAAGCAGAACGAAGTCGCTGAATTATTGGAATTTTCATATTCATGCATAAGAATTTTTGGCTTTCTGTTAGAGTTAATATACAAGGTTTGTTCATTTATATGTTTGTTAATGTTTTTTTGTCCTTTCTAATTCTGCTTGATAGAATATGCTGTAAAAGCAATAAAACATACTACAGAGGATTGAGTATGCTATATTAAAAAAATGTTTATATGCAAATCAGCAAGTCACATGACAACAAAAACAGCCAACATAAAGTCGTGGTGGAATATTATATATCAGAATTACATTTCGACATTATTTAGCATTTCATAGGTAGTGTGGTGCCACAAAAAGTGATTGCTTTTGGAAAGGGTGTGACAGTGCAAAAACGATCATACCCTAAGGTCATAAAGTTGTGTTTTGATGGGATATTTATAATTTCTAAGGTGAGGATATCTCTGTACTTAAAAGTATTGGAAAACAAAGGAATAAGGATTAACTTGGGGCAACAAGGACCATCTCGAAAGAGACCTGCTATAGGTTATACCCTAGCTTTAGTAAGCTAAGTGTTGTGTCTTATAACAGGTGAGAATAAATAAGCATAAAGGTTAATGATAAAAGGCATCCAGACAAAAATATTCAACATAATCAAGAAAGATCTACATGTGGGAAAGTGACATAAGTCACATACACAAGTTGCATCCATGATGTATTCATACAACTACCACATATTTCAAGTAGCTGAAGAATATAATGGATATTCATGCTATTCCATACAAAAAATATACTGGTCAAGTTGATGAATGAATTACCCATTGATTTCTTTATGATCAGACTGTTGAAATGGGCACTGGGAAACTGTAATCCTCAAACACTAGATGACTTATGAAAAACAAGCCAAGAGGAAAGATGTGCTTTGGACATGACAGCCATTCAACAAAGTTGTTTGCAGTATAAGTTATGCTGCAGGTCTGTTGTCAAAATACACGCTAATCAGATGGAGCATTAATGTAGTGATGACGTGGACTGTAATGACATGGTCGTTTTAATATAACATACTTAACCTCTGTATTTGTACTTTTTTGTAGTATCAATTTCTTTTATATGCATTTGAAAATGGGCATTTTGTATAACATGAATTATTGTTCAGGAAAGTTTAGTTTAAGATATTAAAATTAAAAACAAAACAACTACTGATGTGCAGTCTAATCATTAATATTTTAAAATGGGTAATGTATTTCCTTTGGAAGTACAATACATTTAGATACAAATTTTATAGCATACAAACAACAAGAAACCATTTGGTCCTTTAAAGCTGTTTGCCCACTCATCCCAAGAAAAAGATAAAATAATATTAGATTCCTCCTTTATTTTTTGAAGACATTGACTGTAATGTGCTCATTCCATAAGCTAGTCACCCTGTTAGACAAATAATACTGTGTTAACTGTCCTGCCTGTTTTTAAATTACAAGTTTAATTGATGGCACTTTATTGGTTAATTCATTGTAACTTCCATTTTAGAAATTTATTTTGATGAAAAGCCAAGCAGATGAGTTGTCTGCCATCAAGTCATGGAAAGCTGAACATAGATCAGAAAAGATTATAAGCTGCATGTCTAAACAGGAAGTCACCTTAACATGTCTCTCATGAACAAACGATTAGACATAACTCGGTTATTGGAAAAAAATATCACTGGTAAGTTTCATCTGTTGGAAATAAATATTTTACAGCACAAAATCATAATTTAGTTATTTTGGTATTTGAGAATAAAAAAGAACTTTACACAATCAGTTTTTAAATTAAATAAAAAAATCCTATGTTTATATTTTTTTTACAGACTATGCTGAAAAATGCTATTCAAATTTTCTGATACCGGTAAATGGTTCTTCACGCTATACAAAATATGCAAATATATTTACCAATAAAAATTTAAATAAAATATGTTGGTTATTAAAAACTAAATATGCTTGTTTGTTGAAATTCATGCAAAGCTACTTGAGGGCTATATGTACTAGCCATTCCTCATCTCGAAATGATAGACTAGAGGGAAAAAGCTAGTCAACACCAGCCACAAACAACTCTTGGGCTACAATTTTATCAATGAAAAGTTGGATTGACCATCACGTTATATGCATTTGAAATTTGGCATTTTTTATAACATGCATTGTTGTTCAGGAAAGTTTAGGATATCAAAATTAAAAACAAAATGTAATAATTAATAACATGGATTTCTTTAAATACATTAAGGGTAAACAAAATGTTAAGATGGGGGTAGGATCTTTGAGGGATAATAAAGGAAGGCTTGTATCTAATGAATATGAGATGGCTGGGTTATTAAATTCTGTTTTTCTTCAGTTTTTACTAATGAAGGTGTAAGCAATATTCCTCACCTTGAACAGTTGATAGATGGAAACAAGATTGAACAGGATGATGACATTAATTTTGAGCTTGTTAAGAAAAAGTTGGGGAGTTTAAAGAACAATAAGGCTCATGGGCCAGACAATACTTCCCCAAAGGTTTTGAAGGTTAAGGATTGGATATGTGAGCCAAGTTGTAAGTCCTTGAATAAGTCCATTCACAAGCCACAACCTTATGTTAAAGATTAACCTTCCATGTCCTGGTTTGATAAGAAATCAAAATTTGGAATCATCAATCCAGAATTTTTTCTGGGGACAATGCAGCTGAGCTTTTTAGCTCAGCTTATGAGGAGGAAGATGCTGAGATCATTTTCCTGGCATTGCATGATAAGACAGATGAAGAGGCATCTTAACGTCTTTCCATGTGCATCTTTTACTGTGAATGTCACAGTGTTTTTACTGAGTTACATTAAAAATTTAATTTAACGACTTTTTGTTCATATTTTAATAGTATATAAGTTTTAAGTTCTTCATTTTATAAGGCAATATTAAAAAAAATCCTGAATGTCCCCTAGTATGAGAAATGTGACATTTTTTTCTGTAGGCATCCCTTCTCTAATTTATTCACCACCCCTTCAATAAGTAGAACATTTAACATAAATCACTCATTCTAATATCTATGTTTAATACTATATTATTCATAACCAATAGAAAACTAAGATTTTAATCTATCAAATGATGTATTATATAATGTTCTTTTCTATACAGAGAATTGTCAATTTTTCTTTCAGTACAATATTCATTCCCACAGTTAATACACTGACTAGCTTGGATGAATTTGTAACTTGGAAGGTCTTTCTGTGCTCTCTTTTGATGTTATCCAAGCTATACTTTGTGCTATCACTCAGTTATCACAAGCTAGGACAGTAATTTGTTTGAGAAGCCAATGACTGAGAGGGCTTTGCTTCCCTTGCTTTCTCAGCTCTTTGGTGGCATTATCCAGCAAACTACCACTCGATTATTGGTTGTTAGGACATTCATTTGGTCAAAAAAGCAATTACTAAAAGAGCTTTACAACTGTTGTTTTCCAAGCTAATGATTGATGCTTCTGAATGTATGAACTACTGTTTGTGACTGCCATTTGATCAGCAGCAGCTGAAACTGTTATTTTGGGCAAAAAAACCAATGACTGATAGGACTTTGAGACCCTTGCTTTCGTGAGCTATTAAGTAATTTTCGACAGCAAAATAATCGTTCAATGCTTACACAATAACCAATCACCCTATATGGTGGAAGAGTGAAAGTTCTCTGAGATAGACCATTTAGTACTTGAGAGAGACTCGCCATTACTTACACTTGTATCACTCTTCCATATGCTATGAGGGAGTTGTATTTAAATTTAAATTGGGTGATTATGAATCCAAATAGAATAAGTCTTACTTCATTGGATTTGCCTGTATCTACATTTTTGTGATGTCAACTAAAACAAGTGATTGACTCATGTATGGGGACACAGTTTCCAATACAATACCTTACCTGCTTTCACATAATAGCTTTTCTCGGTTATTACTGCTCTCTGTATGCTCAAATTTTTCACTCACCACTAGCCTTGATACTCCCATCTACCCCCCATGTGTTTAGCATGGTTCATCTGTGCTATAGCTTGTAAATAATCATGCGACAACCCTCCACTAATAGGTGTGAGACACACTCCTTGTGCAGCTAGCTCTCTCTGAATTATAGATTTTAACCTCACTTCTCGATTTGGCACTCACATGTTTAGACTTATTGCACACCATGCTTAGTGTTTTTAAATTTTGCTTAAGTTTGTTCATAGTTTTCAACTTAGTTTTTGTATTTAACTTTCAACTTTGTTAGTCTAAAAGTAGTTCTATACAAAATTGAATTTCTTTTGTTTATCAAAATTTTCATCTTGGGTTATTTACCCATTTCAAATTCATTTATAAATTTGCAGGTTATTGGACTTGATTACTTCAGTTATTTTTTTTTTTTCACATGCTCAGTTTTCCCACCTTTGTCTATCTTTAAGAAAAGTCCAATCTGTGAAGGTTTTGAATGATGTTACTAAAGCTTTTCTGTTCATTGCAATATCACAGACAACACAGCTATTATTTATTAGTCTCATGCATGCTGGTTTCATTTGATCTGTCCGTATCTGCGCTCTGGCTTCATGCGTGACTTTCGTCCGGCCCGTTGCCAGAAGTAACTGTCTTTACTTGTGGGTAGCATCCCTTATTTCCCATTCTGTCCATTCTTCCACTTTATCTGTGTATCAATGTAAATAGTGTTTTTTTTTTGCGATTGTTTACTATGTCGTGGCCTCATTCCTTCCCACCCCTACTCTCTCTCTCATTTCTCAGATTTCTTCTCTTGGTTGTTTGACTGGGGTTCCTCTGTGTTGACCACTGTAGGCTATCAGACTGCCTTATCCTCTACCTTCTGTTTATCCAAATTCCCGTATATTTCTTTTCTCTTGTCTTATTCCTTTGTTATGATCCTTCCTTTCTGGATTGCAATCTTAATGTTGTTCTACATTCCCTGTCCTTTTCCACTTTTGAACCTTTGGCATTTTGTTCTCTGTACCACCTTACTTCAAAAACTATTTCCTTCTTCTTTTAGTTTTGGGACGTCATCGGTCAGATGTGTTTGCCTATGATATCTCGCATATCTTTTACCACAGCACCTATATCCTCCTTTACCCATATAAATCCTTCCTTCCCAAGTCTTTTGATGCTTGTGAGGGTAATTTTGCTTTCACTTCTGTTTCCTTACCCTACATTGCACACTTGTATTCGTGCTGTGATCTGGATTGCTTCCTGTGTCCAGTCCTTGCTTTGCAATGGTATGTGGCATGCACAGCTTCCTTCTGTGGTTCCTGACTCTTTATCTACTGGAATCGTACCTTATCCAGAGACCTTTCTCCAGTTATCTTTACTGGATGGATTTGTCAGATAATTGGTTTGGCATATTCTTCTTTGTTCATCCATAACCATTGATTCTTCCATGTTTCCTCTCACCAAATCCATCATCTTACTACATCCTTGGCTGCTCATTTTTGTCATCCTTAGGAGGAGATCATACAGGCCAGCATGTGGACCACTCCACACACTTTTGTGGCATACTCTCTCCTTCATTTAGCCGTTTCCTCCACAACAAGATTTTGCCTACATCCTATTGCAGTCTTATGCAATACAGTATAACCATGTCTGGGTAGGTTATCTTTATCTATATATTTTTCTATTTCAAAGATCTTGTTATTTGTTTCTTGCTGGATCCCACTTGGTGTTAAGTGTTGCCTGTCCAGGTGTACTTATTTTAAAATCCACACTGTACAGCCTTTTATGGTCTATATTACACACACACACTGTTGAGATGGGGTGTTCCGCAAGACTGCTTGTAGGTTCTTCTTTGCAGTGTTTTCTGTCATAAATATGTTTGTCTCATACCGTACACTCGTGGAGTAGTATGAGTAAAGCAGATGAGGATTGCTGCCAATCTTTAATGATCCTTAGACTGATGAACTCAGTTTTAGCCTGCTTTTCAAAACAGGGTTTGCAATCACCCATTGCACTGTTTCTGGTACTGCATTCCTTTGGACTCTCCAACACATTTTCCCCCACTTTTAGTGGAGTACAGGAGTCCTTACCACTTACCAACTCCTAGCCACTGTCATGGTAAACCATGCAGGCTTCCTCCTGAATGTAAGTTAGTGGTGTTTTGCCAGTGTAGATGGTGTTGAACCCTCTTTCTACAGTGGTACTCTAACCACTGGGTTTGATTGGTTGAGAAGCTCCTCCTCCTGGGGACTGGATGTATCTTGCCTGGTCTCAACAGAATGAGGATGGAGTTTATTTCCTAATTGAGGATCTCTTCCTTCCAGGGACTGGGTGTATCTTTCCTAGTCTCAATGGTTTGATGCTGAGTTGTAAGACTTGTACGAGGTGAGTGAGTGTAGGCTTTGTCAGAGGGATGATGATATTGTAGTGAGTAATTTACGTTAAATTTCATACTTATTGGAGGGGTGGTGAATAAATTAGAGAAGTGGGGATGCCTAGAGAAAAAAATGTCACATTTCTCATACTAGAGAAAAGTCAGGATTTTTTTTATATTGCCTTATAAAATTTAGAACTTAAAACTTTCATACTATTAAAATATGGGTTATTAGCTATGATTTTATGTTATGCTAATTGGTATAACATGAACAAAATGTAGTTTAATAATTAATTTTTTAATGTAACTCACTAAAATCCTTTTGACATGCACAGTAAAGGATGCCTGGGCAAAGAGGTCTAACACACTAGTAATGAAACAAGACACCATTTTTTCAAAGATATTAGTATTGATTGGTAAATAATACACCTTAAAATGTAGTTGACAACGTTAGAAAGCTCTAATAACAAAACAATGCAATGTTTGATACATGGGTAGGAATTGGTGAATGCTCTAATAATGAAACGACACAGAACAATGCAACATATAATTAGGACCCAATGTACATGTAGCTTCACAAAATTTAGCAGACTTTCAGTAAACATTACAAGACTTTCATACAAAAAAAATTAGATTTTTTAATTAAGTATTTGTAATAAAGATTTGTCTGTGAATATATCAAGTAATTTTTTTTGCTAGTCTGAGTGTAAAGTGATTTTCATGTTAAGATTAAAAATAGTTTTATTCATCTGAAAATTTTCACATTTCATTTATGTAATCTCTAAAACCTAAATTATTATAAAACATTATTCTTCAATAAAACTATATCTTATCTATTATTTTCTCTATCCTAATTCTATATATGAGGTTGGTCAATTTGACCGACCTCATAGCTACCAAAAAAAAAATTTGTTTGAAGTAAATCTAAATTACTCTTTTTTTTTTCTTTCTAGAATGACATCGTATTTCATTATATTTGTCTTTCTTTTGATGAATATTTTTGATTTGATACTAGAAGGTCTTGTGTTTGTATTTAGAGTACTTTTTGTGAAGGGTCTATTTAATTTTATGCTTTGATCTAGCATTAAGGTTGTTCTTTTAAAGAGTTTGTTCTACTCTAAGCTAGAACATTTTTAAAATTTTTTATTAAGTATTTCTATGAAGGGTTCTTGATATACTTAAAGCATTTTTTTAATGCTGGTGTTGGTGTTTTACTTAATTACATTAATAAAGGTTACAGTTTTTGTGCAATATTTTGGTATTAAAGTTTTCTACTGAGCATTCTTTTGTCAGAAGGAATTTTCTTGGATTGATATCTGTGTCAAAGATTTTTTTCTATGTACATATCTATATTTAAAGGGTTTAGTTTTGTACTTTATTCATCTTTGTTAAAGGTTTTGTTTTTGTATATCATATTGTGTCAGCTATCACCTCTTAAAAGCAATAGGAGATTATTTTTAGTTTTTTTTGTCATGTTTAATTCGCAACTTTTGTTTTATTGTCTTGCAAAGCTATGTGCTTGTTTGTGTTGTTAAACAAGAGTTTTTAATGGGTTAAAGATGAATTATTTCAATTTCTTGATTGATATGCAAACAAATTTAACTGGGTCTTGTATTTTAAATGTAGGATAGTCAAGTTGGCCTGAATTTAAAGGGAGGTACAGGATGGTATATGACTGCTACCCCCTTATTTAATATGTACATTTCTGTTTTCTTTAAGTTTAGTTCCAACCTAGAAAGTTGATCAGGTAAACTATTTAAGTTCTCTAGTAGTGCCTGGAATCGAGATCACTGATTGGTCGTTAGAGGTGTTTTCATGCAGGAAAGATAACCGTAGCTTTACTTGTGATATCCCAAAATAGACAGCTGTTTTTTCTGTTGGTGAAATGAGTAATTCCCTAGGAACACAGCCACCCTTTGGCTTAAGTGAGACTGGTCTTGAGTCACATGAGTGATATGCAAGACATAAGCAGCTTGGTTTTGTTTTGTATATAAAGGCCAGGCTCTTCCCTATATAGTCAGATGTAGATTGGAGATTTTTGTTTTCTAGACATAGAAATATTTTATTTATACTTTAAATTTTAACCAATAAAGGTTCTCTTTCTGTCCAGTACTTGACACACACACACACACACACACACATACATAGAACATTTGTGTGTGTTTAATTGTTTTCTTTAACTGCCATTGTTGTAGCACAATAAAGATTGTTATTTATGCATTTTTGTGTACCATCTCTCTCTTTGTGTTAGACTTAGTCAAAGTTGGTGAAAGACAAACCCATACTCTGAATCGTGGTATTTGATGGATCTCCTGTTGTTGCAGGTCCTTCCTGTTTACTCTGCAGGAAATCAGTATACCTGTATATTTATTAGATTCACTAAGATAAGCTAAACAGTTTACTAAATATTCAGATAAATCATACAATCTAGAAGAACAAAAGTTAGAAAAAATCAGTTTACTTTTAATATCATCAAGTATACATTTCACATTTTCAAGTTTCTGTTATTCATGCTGTCACTACTACTAGGGTTATTTGCTAGTTTTCTTAACTTCCATTAAGTAAATCAGTAATGAACTTCTCTGATCAACATTCATCAATCATCACTACAATCTTATACCTTTATCTGCTTTTTTGATTATTAAATTATTATTTTTGAGGTAGTTTAAGGCTCTACTGTCAATAAAATTGAAATTCATCTTTCAATCTGAATTATTTCTAAATGCATCACAAATATTCATACTATTTTTTTAAATATGGTTAAATTTCTATAACTATATTTTGTTACAAATAGCATTAATACTAACTGAAAAATTCAAACCCAACTCTAAAGCCTTTAGTTTACTAGAATCCATGTGTATTTTCCCCCATGTTAAATAAATATGTTTGCATAATTTTTTCCATACACTTACATTCTTTGGATTTCATGAGCTTATTAAACTCTTTTTACTTCGGTGCAGTTTAATTGTATCAACTCTTTCCTTGTGCTATTGTAAAAGCAATGTACTAACTTCCAAGTAAAGAGAATAAAACCATTTTAAATATAGATATTTCATTTCACTTATACTGTATAACCTTTAAAAGTACTTTATTAGAGCATTTCTTATCATTTTGTCACCTTAAGGTTATCTTATGTTGCATGCCCCCCAGTGGCACAGCGGTATGCCTGCGGACTTACAACGCTAAAATCCGGGTTTCAATACCCGTGGTGGAGAGAGCACAGATAGCCCATTGTTTAGCTTTGTGCTTAATTACAAACTATAACTTATGTTGCAAGAAACCTTAATAAAGTTTGGAATGACAGTATTATTATGACATTTTACTAAAAAGTCTAAACCTAAAAGAAGAGTATTTACTTTGCAATGCAATTTGATGAAATCCTGAACTGGTTGAAGATGCAAAAATACTTGAGATTAATATCTTTAAACTGAAGACTAAAATATTCAACATATGCATAATCCACAAATGTAGTAATGAGAGCACATGTTCACAATTAATTTTTTCTTGAGCCTGTGTTTAGCATATCTAGAAATGAAAAGAAGAATTTCATGCTAAATTTCATTAAAAAACACATAACTGTGGTCTTATAAGCATGGATAAATATTTTTAAATAAATAAAACAGAATATTAAAAACAAAACACAATTTACCAGCCTTGACTTGTAATAGCCAGTCATTGTCAGGTTAATACAGTACTACAATCTTCATTGTTTTACCATTATTGTATATTTGACATTATACATCCTGTAAAACTTAGTCTGCATATAGCAGTGGAAGAGGCTTAAAGGACAAATTTATTATGACTTGCAAGTATGTAGATTTTGGTGGGTGACTAGGTTTTGTTCACTCAACCCTGTTGAAACTTAAATGGAAGCTTGAATCTGACTCATTAAGTCTGTATAACACATAAAATTTATAGAATTGCAAGAGAATAAAAAAAATAATAATGTAAGATATAATTTACAGTTGGGCTTGTGAGATACTTGGGACACCTTTTATTATCATTATTTTATTTAATAATCACCAAGAAGTAACAGTTTGCTTTGTGAACATTGCTTATAGTGTGATGATTAGAATGTAGCTATGTAAGCCAAGATTCTAGGCTTGGTCAGGTTAAGATAAATCCTGGTTGCCCAGTTGGTAAAGTAGTACTTAAGTAAGCCAGATTTTAGGTTTGGTCAAGTGTGAGGATTAACTGCTTGGAGCTTAAACCACAAGGATGCTGGCTTAAAAATTTGTGGATTAAAAATCCTCTAAGAGGATATCACTTTGTTTCCAGCAACTTTGGTAAAATTATCCCATGAAAACTAGGTCTCTTCTTATATAGCCATATACGACAGCACATACTACTAAAATTACTATCCTCAAGAATATGTTGGCAAAGAGCAAAGTAATCATGTTGAATGTATCCATTTGTAGGTTGAATAGATATAAGAAGTTAAAATATATGCAAGATACTACCATATAGCAGTGTAATACACTTCTAAATCAGAAACTCCACAAGATTGAAATACAAAGAGCCAAATACATTATCTTGTGTAAAGTTTAGTTGAAATTTCCATGATGCTATTTTCTACATGGAAATCTGTTTTATACCGGTAAGGAGTGATGGGATTCGAATTGTTATCAGACTTTTTGTGATGAAATATTCCTTCCAAATTTATCAATTTTTTTTCCACAACTCTCGGTCTGCTTCCTTTTAAAGAATTGGTTACACTATTGTCATAATTTATCCCACGTCTTCACCATTTGTTTATTATTAATCTCTGGAAACAATAAGCTATTATTATAATTAAATACTAAAATATACTCTCTCAGAAAAAATAATACACAAGATGTTATAAGGGAAAGAAAAATTATATGACAATATACCACATTGAGGTTTTTCTGTATTCTAAGCAAGTTTTTGCTTCTTACTGCAGCCTTCTTCAAGCTCAAGTGAATAAAAGTATGAAATATTATTAACTGTTAATAAAAATGTGTAATGTTACAAAAGCTGAGATTATGATATATTTGTCAACAGATGTAATTGGTTTTGAAAATTAAAAAGTGAGTGGTGTTCTTTTTTTTTGTTGTACAAGAAAAACTGAAAGTTATTCCTGGGGATTTTCTCTATAGTAGAACTTCAGGAGCAGTCCTTTGCTTTGGGTAACTCACCCATGTCTTTGTCTCCATGGCAACCATCTCATCTTGAACAGCAACTATCAGAAAGTATTACTAGTCCCCTGATTGCTCTTTTACAGGGAACAGTATTCTCTGTTGATGAAGTGGTAGGTAAGAGAGTTAAAGTAGTAACCTTTTCTGAGGAAGATATAAAAAACTTGTAATTACAAATATATCTTTTTAATAAGCATGCTGTATTTTCATTTGTTTCATATCATATTTTAGAAAGTTTGTAATTTCAGAAAGAAAGCATAGATACATTTTGTTTAATTGCATTTTTAAACATCATTAGATTATTAGGATATTCACCCATATTGTTTAATCAAGCATGATAATAGAATAAGTTAACTGGTTCTTAATTTTCAATCAGTGTTCAGTTGGTATGAAGTGATGCACCACGTTAACAGTGATTAGCTTATTTTATCTCTTTTTTTTTTCTGGAAGGAAATGCTTCTTCACTTAGCAGACCTTACTGCTGTAGAAGAAATGAACCATGAGCTGTTTGGTGGATCAAATGAGTCACTTGCTGAGCCTCTGACCATGGATATAAACAATGTCACTGATGATAGCTACTCTGATAGTGACCAAGAGTCAGACCTTAGTCAGTCATCTAATGAGGCTAATGCTGGTAGCCGAGGAAGTAGTCCTCTTAAAGGAGCAGGAGAGTCCCTTAGTTACAGCAACCAGTCCAGTTTAGTGTTGTCTGATGAAGGAGATGAAATGTATGGTAGGAGTCACTTATAGAGCTGGGCAATTTGCTAATTGTCATGCTCATTAATTGATTATATTCAACTAAGCTATATTTGGAATAATCAAAAATAGTAAACATTAATTTTGATTAGATGATTATTTTCTTGAATCATAACACTAACTGATTAAGCTGAACAATGTTGAATTAACTGAAAATAATAATGAAAAATCGTATTAGCAATACTTATAAGTCCTTGAAATTAGGAAATCAAATCCATGTGAAAAAATGCTGTGCTAAGTGCTTAATCAAGATAACATAGTTACAAAAGTAGTTATCCATTATGAAGAGGCTCTACTAATTAATAACACAATTAACCCTCTCTCTATGGGTAAGTCATAGTGCACATGTCATGACCTTTTAGAGGGTTACATTCAAAATTTAAGTAAGATACTTTATTACCAATATATACAAATAAACTTTGCATCAAAACATAGTTAATAAACCAAGTTTAATGTTATTACTTATTTTACTTAATCTAGTCTTAAATAACTTAAAAAGATCCATATTTTTAATTTTAGTTACTTTTATAATAATAAATATGAAAAACAAGAAATAAAGTACTTACCCAGTCTTCTTTTTTTCTTGCCCTCGATTGTTGAGGAGAGTTAAGCCTAATCTTTTATATTAATGCACTTAACAATTTTTATTGAATTAAATAATGCATCAAAGAATATAGACTTATAACATGCAAAAAGTAGACAAATTCACTTAACTCTCAAAATTTTCCAGGCTTTCTAACTATGTGACAAGAGCCGTCACAAATTCATCCAACCTAGTTGTTAACTTTCCCACTCTTGAGTGAAATTGACGATTATCTGTTCAGAACACAATGTTATACAATACATCATGTGATAGATGAAAACCTTGAGTTTCTATTGGTTACAGGTAATATATATATATATGAAACGTAAGAGAGAACTATCAACAAATTGTGAAAGAGGGGATGTGATAGGTGGGTGTGGCAGAAGGGGTCTGATTTCCTATTTGATAGCTTTGTAACCAAACAAAATTGAAGGCTGTAAAAATTATGGTTTGTTTGAGAAATAACTAGCTTATAGAGAGTATTTTACATTTAATTTCTTACATTTTAGAGGGGTGATGGATAAAATAAGGATGATGATGCTAAGACAAGTGGAAATTCAGGATTTTGTTATATATTTGCTTGTAGAATTAAAACTTAAAACTTGTATAATATTAAAATATGGATTATTAGCTAAGATTTTATGCTATTCTAATTGTTATAACATAAACAAAAAGTAGTTTAATAAAATTTTGAATGTAACACACTAAAACCTTGTGTCTTGCACAGTAAAGGGTACCCAGGGCGACAGGCTTCTATTTATGGCTAACTGTTGTGTGCTACAATTTTTATCACATGGTCTTACTCTATATTTGTTTCTTCTTCTCTTCTATTGTCTCATGTTTCTGTTCCCTTTCATCTTTCATGTCTTGCTGGCATCTCTTAGTGGTATTCCAGGCATTTTGGCCAAAGATGCTATCAAACAGGTTTATCATCTTTTTCAGGATGTTACTCCTTCCCACCAGGACTACTGCATACATACTCTTCTCTTTCTTTGGGAGGTGATTTGTTTTAGTTGGTGGGTCTGACTGGAGAGATCTCATCTCACATCCACTTAGTATCTGGTTCACTGGGGTGTGTTCTTCATTTCCCATCTCTGTGGAGCTCAGACTTCTCTGCTTCGTTGGCAAGACCTGGTGAGTTTGGTTTCTACAGCTCTACCCTCTCCTCTTCCTGCATGGAAGTTCTCTTTCTTTTGGGGGTCTTGGGCTTCCATAACACCTCTTATTCTTTGGAACATGCTCACATGCATCTTTTGCAGTAGAATCTGCATGATCCATGGACTCTTTCTCGCAATTCCTTATCCATTTTCCTCCTTCCCTACTTGATGACATCACCTGGTGGCTCAAGAGAACCATTACTCCAGAAGATGTTCCTCTTGCTCCCTCTCATCCAGATATTCATGTTTTTATGAATGCTTCTCTGATGGGGTGTGGCACTTGTCTTGACTGTTTTGAGGTTTCAGGTCAATGGAACCTGGAGTGATTGCCCTTCATGTCAACCTCCTGGAGCTCTTAAAGGTTCATTGGACTTTACATGATTTCTTTCCAGTGGTAAATGACCATTTGGTGAGGATTCATACAGGCAACTCCTCTGTATTATCCTATACCAGTTGCCAGGGGGGCACTTGTTCTCTCTGTTTCAAAACCTATGACCCCCTCTTCTTGGCCCATGTTATGGGTGCTATGAATCTTGTGGATTCTCTTCTGTGGCTAGACAAGATTTTTCCTGTAGAATGGTCCCTCGGCTCTTGTGTTTTTCAAGGGCTCTGCTCTTGTTGTGCACTTCTCACATCAATGCTTTAGTCACTTACTATAGTACCAAGCTTCCCCTCTTCTGGTCTTCTGTTTTATATCCATCAGTTCTGGTGGTGAAGATGTTAGAGCCCTCCTCCTTCCGCTGCCTAGAAGACATTCAAGGTGTCACCTGGTTTTGGCCTGGAGTTGACCCACCATATACGATCTGACATCCCTTATCTACACTACCCATATTGCACTTTCATTTTAGCCCGTTTCAGGCTCTAAACTGTGCTTGTATTTTCTGCCACTTCTAGTGACAGTTCCCTTCTTCATAAGCAAAGAGTGTACCCTGGTACAGATTAGGTGTGGTCTCTCACGGGTGTGTCCCTGTACTATTTCATAGGATTTTGCACTTCATGGGTTCTTTTCAGGTACTTCCCAAAAGGTAAGTTTTGTACTGATCCATCACTTCATTTTAGGATTCTAGCTATATGTGAGAAGAGGTTAATTATCATTTTGGAAAGTAACATTTTCCAACACTGAAAAGTTATTTTCGATAGATACCTCCTCTCACACTTCCTATCCTTCTTTCCCACCTCCGATGCATCTTTTCTTGCCTAATCTCGAAGTGAATATTGAACAATCAGTACAGAGCTAGTCAGTTGTGTTAGGAGGCTGTGTTGCAGTGGAGGGTTGTCACATGCTTATTTGCAAGCAACAATACAGCAATATCACATGGAAACACGTTGAGTTTACATGGGAGCCTCAAGGCTATTGATGAGCAAAAAGTTTGCCTATAGAGGTAAGTATCTATCAGAAATACATTTTCAGTGTTGGAAAATGTTAACATCTCATATTAGGCAAAGTGAGGTGTTTGTATTAAGGAACCAAATAACTAACGTACTGTTTAAGAGTATTATAAGCTTAATACAAGTCTAATGATAATTATAATTGATTATAATCAAGTTTCTCCAGCTAAAGGCATCCACACCATAAAAGTGTAAATAGGACACCAGTTAAAAAAAAAGTCTTTAGAAATTTGTAGGAATATTTGTTGATTACCTTGTCCATTTGTTATCTGTCTAACAAAACAAATCACAGCTAAAGTAGCTTCACAAAAGCTAACATAGAGCTCTAGTTGAAAAATTATTTAGCAACTTACATGATTAATCTTATTGGCATTGCTTTTTATTTTTGGGGGGGGGAATTTCTGGAAAGAACTATGAAGTAATTAATTTGTTACAAATTTTAACTATAGGTGAGGAGGCAATGGCTGAAAGTGTTTTATCACCTGTGGTGGATATAAATGATGTAATTGGCCCTGAAGTCACAGTTAGTAACGAACTCAATCTGAGAAGAAAAACTTGGAAAATTGAAATTGATTCAAATCAAGATTCTGTAACAGAGATGGTTGATAGTGAATATAAATATAATGATCATAGTTGGCAGATTATTATAGATTCATGTCAGGAACATGAACGAAAGACACTTGATAAACTTGGTAAAGATAGTTTGCAAACACTGATAATATCAAGTCCAGATTCTGTGATAACTAAAACTGATATTGAATACAAAATTTCTGAAAGTAATCTGCTGACCTTGACTGACTCGTGCAAAAATCTCACAAAAGATATCAAAGTTAATAAAATAAATCTATTTGAAGAAACTCTACAGGAATGGATTGATGCAACTCAAGATTCTGTGAAAGTTGTACCAGGTGATTGCTCAAAATCTAGTGAAATCTCCAGTGCTTCCTTTTCCAGCCTTAAAGTTAGTAGAATAGAGACTTCTGATGGTAGAAGAAAACCAAATGATAGTGTTGAGGGTCAACCAGACTGTTCTGATTATAAACCAGTATATTCAGAAAGTTCCTATAATGCTGATCAACATTATAGGAAACCACCAAACATATTGATATATACTGGAGAAAATAGTTCCACAAATTATGCAAAGTTTAATTGCATTAAGGAAAGTTTGTTGTTCTGTCTTCAACCTGATCACTATGCAATATATATGTTAACACTGGAAGAAGTGAGTATGAACGTTTTAGTAACCCTTGTATTCAGGCATGGTCTGATGATAATTTTGGTAATTAAATCTAACCATTTTCTGATCTGTACTTTATATTACAAATATTTGTGTAGAGCTTTCAAAAGTATGTTCATATTTGGGCTAGATTTTATTTTATTATTAAACATGACATCATTATTCACAATTTATGTTCGTATTTAGCCTAGATTACGTTTTACTACTAAACATGATCTCATTATCTCTTATGTTAATTTAGAAAATAAATGTGAAGTTTTTGCCATGTATAATCATATAAGCTTAGTCTAGACTTAACCTGGGAATTTTGGGGACATTCAGAGCAGACTGCTTGTTCATATCAAATGTGGTAACAGTTGATCTCAATGAATACCATCAGGTTTTTTAAGAAACAATTACAGAAAAGACAAGACTGTAGTGAATCATTTTTTATGTGTAATAAATGTTTTTATTTGTTTTTGTAAATAAACTAATAGAAATGTTAATATCTTTTCCAATATCATAAATTAGAAACTACCAACAAATAAATATCCTTAGTTTTTGTCATATTATGCATTTAAATAAGAGTTGTTAACAGGTCTTGAGAAGAAGTTAACGTAAGACATAAAGGGAAATTATTAACTATTTCTTTAATTAGCCGAAAATACTCAGTTGATAGTACAGTATGTTAATTTATAATAATAATAAAGGCAGAAAATTAAAAGACCAGTGTAAAATTATGTCATTTTAAATAAATCTTTTATCATCTTTATATAAATGTATTATGTAGGGTCTTTCATACATTACATTAATGTTGTCAAAATTCATTATTTACAACATACACCTTCAAACTTTTCATATAAATAGCTTTTATAACTACAGGTAACAACAGTGCCATGGAATGACAATACAGTTCTTCTAATTGTTTCCTGTGGTAAAGTTCCTGAAGTTGCCAGTCAGATCTTGAGTGATTTTGTATTAAAAGGTGGAAACATCTTAAACTTTTGCTCAGAACTTAAACTTCCCACACTAAGTATTAATGTTGTTATCACTTCTGCGGAAAAGAAGATAATCCTACTGACTTACAAGGATTCAAAGGTCAAGCTAATGGAAAGGAAACTAAAATGTGATACATCAGATGAACAGGTGGTTATTTTTCCTTTACTGTTTCAAGAACCTGTTATTTGTGAGCTGCGAAGTCCAACAACTCCTGGAGTTATTATTCTAAGCCAGGTTGGTTTGTTTGGGGGAAATATGTATTATAAAAAATAAGACAAAGCATTTATATAGACATCATGAATGTATAATGATAAACTTTCACTAGGTAACAAAATCTAAGCCATGGTTAGCTGAGGACTACAGTTTTGAGTTTCCATCAGTGTAGTTAATGGTAGAGATTGCCCATCCAATAGAGCTTTTATGACGTTATCTTTGGAAGAATGATTGATTTAGTTTTATATCTTCATATATATATACGAGGCCTGTGAGAAAAGTATCTGACCTTTGGCCGGGGAATAAAAACTGGCATACTTGGAGCGTTGAAAACCTAATCACCCTCAAAGTAGTCTCCA